AGCCCCCCAAATCTCTCATTTTGCTGCTCCCTGAGCCAAGTCAGGCCATAGCCATGGCAGGGTTTGCCTTGTTTGGCTCTTTGCATCCCCCATCCCTGCCGAAACCTGAGCTGGGCACACAAAGCCCACAGCTGGGGCAGAGCTGAGCTCTCCTGACCAACAAGCAGCTGTTCTGTCCCCAAGCACTGATTTTCCTTCTTGCTTTGCTAGTTTGACCATCTGCTAACAAGGTATTTTAAAATAAAAGCAAATTTCATCTGGTAACAGCAGAAAAACCACAAGAACAGCCTAATGAAAGCCTTTTTCTAACACACAGAAACCAAGAGCACCCAACAGCAAGGGCAGAATGGATAAATCCTGCTGGAAACTGCTTGCACCAATTTGGCCCCCTCTGCAACACCCAGGAAGGATGATCTTTAATTGCAACCCCCAGACACATTGCTTGTGAGCTATTTTTTAAAATTTTAAAGAAATAAACAGCAGCATTAGACCAGTGTTGAATTCCTGAGGCACCCCCTGGGTTACCTGGAGCCCAGGTTTGAGATGCACATCAAATTAAGGCCTTGCATCCATTCTGGTTTGAGCTATTTCAGTTGTGTGGGATGGAAATCACATGAACAAAACGCTTCTTTAGTTCCCCACCCAAACCCCAGGCATCAGGAAAGACCTGCCCAGACCCTCCTCAGGATGGGAACAACTGTCAGGAACATCATTTGCAGGAGAAGGCAATCTTTAGAAAGATTGAGGAGATACAGAGACATCACCTCAGAGACAGCTGCGAGATGGATTTGTGCTCTTCACTCAACCACCCACTCAAGAAAAGAGATACAGGTGACTGCTGACTTAAAGACAGCTCAAAAATAGGAAATTAATGCACTCCAGATCTGGAGGGCTGAGTTTTATAACAGTGGCTGTGGAAAACAAACTGAAATCCAGCTCCATCTGCTCACCTCCAGTGGCACCTTGCCATCATTGTAACAACTCTACACAAGTGTGAGACACAAGAAGAGAAATAAATAAAACGAGACACTCACCCTCCTTCAAAGATCTTGATCCTCACCGGCTCCCCTCGCTTGGTCACAAGAGCCTCTTCTTCTGATTTTCCCCTTTTCTCCTCTTCCTTCTCAGCTCTAGTTATATCTTTTCGACCTTCATTAGAAAGGAGCGAAGGCAAATGAACCTATCTCCCCAAAAGAGCAAAACAATCCATGATTACAGACAGAATCACTGGCAGGACACACAGAGCAAACAGCCCCAGCAGAGCCAGCGCTGCTCCAGCACTGATCCTGACACCAGGGGCTGGAATTGGGGCACCCCCCCAACAAATGGGGCCCTCCTGCTGGATTTGGGGCCCTGCTGCTGGATTTGGGCCCTGCTGCTGCATTTGGGGCCCTGCTGCTGCATTTGGGGCCCTGCTGATGGATTTGGGGCCCTCCTGCTGGATTTGGTGCCCTCAGGGTTGTGGGGGATTTGCTGTGACCCCTGACTGATACAGGAGTCTTTTTGAGCTAGGGCTTGACGGGGTCTCTCTGGTGTTGAGATGACCCCAAGGTGTTGGAAAGTCTCTTTTTTCCCAGCCCTGAGACCAAAGAAGAGTCAGGATTCCTCTGTTCTCATTTTCAAGGTTGTTTATTATTTCTTATCTATAACATTTGAGAGGAATAGCAGATTTGTCTTTCCAAATCAGCTGTGGGTCTGCTGGGAGATAAAACCAGCACTGGGAGATAAAAGAAACAATGGGAAGGATTCCACTGGTTGATGAATGGGAAAAGATAATTGCCTTTACAAATAAACTTTAGGTTTGCTGATAAATGAAATTAGACATTGAAAGATGAAAGAAACAATGGGGAAGGAAAACCCCTAAATTCTGTAAGAATTAACAGTCAAAATGGTTATACATTGAAGGGGAATCTTTAGTATCAGTCATATTGGGGAGTCTGAACCTCTCATGTTCCTCAGAAATGGGGAAAGAGAGAAGGGAAATGCAGCTGGGAAATTGGGATAAAAAGGAGGCTGCATGCTCCAAAAATTGGAGAGACCCCAGGGGATGCCCCATGGCCTCTCCCTTTATTGGAATAAAGTAAAAGGACTCTTCTGTCTCCTTTTTGGACACAAACCTCTGGTGTTTGTGGATTCATTTTCCTGACACATTCTTTCTCTGACCTGCTGAGGTCTGTCCAGCAGGTCAGTTTATGGCACACTGACTGCCTTGGGGTGATATTGGCTTTTTATACTAAAAACTACATGTACTTTGTTTACAATAATTTTCCAATACCTATCATTTATGTTAGACAGTCTGTCTCTACTCTAAACCAATCCAGAAATGCCACCATCACAGCAGAAGATGGACGACAACAAGAAGAAGGAGGACAGGACATGCCCAGATTCCTCCATCTTTCCTCTTGAACCCCCATTCTAAAAACCCCAAAATTTTAAATTTTCACATGATGATAAATTCACTATCATTCTATTCAAACTCTTGTGGCTTGTAAATCCTCACACAAAGTTGGTAATTGTTTCTATGGGCTAAAATCAAAGGCACAGGTGGTTTTGACTCTGTGCCAAGGTCTCTGAGCCCCCTGCCAGGGACTCAAGTTCTCCAGGGCAGCCAGAGGAATGTCCTGGGTTCCAACAAGGTCTCAAAAGTTTTCGTAGATTTATATTACACTTAAGATAGCCCATCTACTTTAGAAGGCATAAAATTAGCAGAATGGCTTTTGTGGTAGTGTTGGAAATAAAAAAGTTTTCATAAAAGGCAAAATAACAAAACTCCTCACAGAGAAAAGCTGAGCTAGGTGCAAGAGGCTCTTGCTCTTGGTAAAACACTTCACAAAAGCAATTAGTTTCTTTGTTTTCTTATTTTTCTAGTAAATTTTTGGCTTCTGTCCAATTGGCTATCCTTAATTTTGAGGTGAAGTTTCTCAGGTCTTATGAGGTGTCTTTTTTGCTAATGGAGGCAAGAAACTTTCGGGCTTTTTTCCTTTTTAAGGGGACAAAGGATTATTTTGTCACTCTGTCAACACAAAAAATATTCCTGCATCTGACAAGTTTTTTTAATTGCTCCCTCCAGGTTATGCAGCTCTTGCCACCTGGAAAAATGAAGGATGAAGAGAAGTGTGATGGCTGGGGTGACCCTGAGCATGTGGGGTGTCTGTTCCCAAACTTCTGTCCCTGGATAATGCTCTCTCTGCAATGCACATCTGAAAGGTCTGGAGAGGGGGCATCTGCAGAATTCATACCCTGAACCTCTGGGTTTCCCCCACATTCACACACATTCACACAATTTTGGGGTTCAGCCACCCCAGCCTGACATAAATCAGCATTCCTGGGTGATTTCCTTTCGCTGCCAAGGGCACAGCCCAGAGAAAGCCACAAAACCCATGGGAGAAAAGAATCCTCAACCTCCCCACACGTTCCCAGGGCCAAATCTGCTTTTTCACTGTTAAATTGCCACTTGTTGAGGGGATTTTGTGTCTAAACCTTGTCCAGCCCAAGGTTTAAGTCATGCCCTGACACCTCACCTACACAATGAACGTGTTTGTTATAGAATGGACCTGAACATCAAAGCTGCATCTGTGGGTGGGATGAGGGAGAGCTTTCCACACCTGGAATGAAATGTTGAGATGTCCTAAATCCCAACAGGACAAGCCCAGGGAGAGCTCTGCACACCTGGAATGAAATGTTGGGATGTCCTAAATCCTGGGACAAAGCCAGGGAGAGCTCTCCAGACCTGGAATGGAATAATGGAATGTTGCCCCCTAAATCCCAACAGGACAAACCCAGGGAAAGCTCTGCACACCTGGAATGAAATATTGGGATGTTGCCCTTTAAATCCTAACAAAACAAATGCAGGTGAGCTCTCTAACCTGGAACAAAATGTTGGGATATTGCCCCTTAAATCCTAATAGGACATACCCGGAGAGACCTGTCCACAGCTGGAATGAAATGTTGGGATGTCCTAAATCCTGGGACAAAGCCAGGGAGAGCTCTCCAGACCTGGAGTGGAATAATGGGATGTTGCCTTCCAAATCCTAACAAAACAAATGCAGGTGAGCTCTTCAACCTGGAACGAAATGTTGGGATATTTCTCCCTAAATCCTAATAGGAAAAAGCCAGGGAGAGCTCTCCAACCTGGAATGAAATGTTGTGATGTTGCCCTCTAAATCCTAACAAAACAAATGCAGGTGAGCTCTCCAACCTGGAACCCTAATAGGATTTAGCCCCCTAGTAGGATTTAGCCCCCTAAATCCTAATAGGACATATGCAGGGAGAGCTCTCCACACCTGCAATGAAATGTTGGGATGTTGCCCTCTAAATCCTAACAAAACAAACTCAGGTGAGCTCTTCACACCTGGAATGAAATGTTGGGGTGTTGGTCCCCTACAGCCCCCCAGGGATCTCCAGAGAAAGGAAAGCAGAGCTTTTCCCCAGGTCACTTTTCCCACAGTCACTCTAGCATCCAGCTGAATCCATATTCTGGATGAGGATCCTGGATCCATATCCTCACATTCTCTGTAATTGATGGAATGCTGCAGGCAGCTGAGAGCAGTTTTCAGAGGGGCTTTGGCCTGCGGGCAGCCCCTGAAGGCTGAAGCAGAGCTGGGCACCCTTGGCTCTGGCTGGCAGCAGTGGCAGCTGCCCAGGTGATTCACCTGCCTCACCTCAGCCTGGGCTGTAGGGGATGAATCACCCCAGTGCAGCCTCCTTGTCTCCCCTGGTTTTGGGGGAAGCCACAGAGTGAGCAGCTCCAACAGAATCCTGCAGAATCCAGGGGGAGTTTTGGAGTTTTGGGAGAGGCCACAGAGTGAGAAGCTCCAACAAATCCCACAGAATTCAGCAGGAATTTTGGGGGAAGCCACAGAATGAGCAGTTCCAACAGAATCCTGCAAAATCCAGGGGGAGTTTTGGGGGAAGCCACAGAGTGAGCAGTTCCAACAGAGTCCTACAGAATCCAGGGGGAGTTTTGGAGTTTGGGGGAAGCCACAGAATGAGCAGCTCCAAGAGAAGCCTACACAATCCAGCAAGAATTCAGCCTACACAATCCAGCAAGAATTCTGGAGTAAGCCACAGAGTGAACAGCTCCAACAGAGTCCTACAGAATCCAGGGGGATATAACCCAGCCCCCTCAGCTGCTGGAACTGCCACGGGATGTTCAACAGGAGGGATGGACTCACTCAAAAGTTGCTTTGCAAAATTGGGGTGAAGCATTTCAAATTTGCCCAGGAATTTCAGGAGCTCAGCTCAGAGCATTAAATCCACTCAGGGCTACTCTCTGTCCTTGGGGCCAGGTCATCCCCATGGCCACACCATCCACACACCCATCCTAGAAGCCTCCTGGGAATGGTCCCTGTGCAGTTCTGTGTCCCTAAAAGTGCCAGTAATTTAATGACAAAAGGCTCAAGGCAGTGCCAGAAGCCATCTGAATATTTAACAGCAGAAATGGTCTTGAGCTGATAGCTGTGGGCATGGAGATGACAGTGAGGAAATCAGCAGCAGGAGAAACACAGAACCCTCAAAAATTAAACTTTTAGGGTTGTGACTTTGCCTCCTGATGGGAGCTATGGGCTCAGAGCACTGCAGGGGACAACCTTTCCAGGTTTACTGAGGAATACAAAACAATTGACTTGCTAGATGTAGCACGAGGTTTATTTATTGCAACTTTCGAAAGCACAAAAACATTGACAGATGAAAGGCACCAGAGAGCCAAAATCATACAGTCACTACTATCCCCTGTTACAGTCTTGTTGGAATTTACAGAGAGTGCAAGCCCCAGTACAGTGTCACCAGCCATCCCTACATGCACGTTGGAGCCCGCAGCCACTCCAGAATTCCAGAATTTTCTGCTCAGCAAATCCCACTGGAAATTGAAACCCCAAGGCAAGGACGGAGACAGCACGTACAGAACTACTGTTTGCTGCATGCATAACTGTACAAAACACCAGAGCTTTTTACATCTCCTGGGAGGAACTGACACCCTGGAGTTACATGGAGGAGGGAATACGGAGGGCAAGGAGCCAGAGCAGAGTTAGCTGAGCGCTGGACTCCAACCCTGGAGTGATGCTACGGCTGCTGCACATCCTGGCAGCTGCTGCTTCCCCATCCTGCATGGAGGATTTCACCCCCACAGATCACAAATTGGTGCTGTGCTTGGCAAGAATTCGATTTATTTCTGCTGCAGCTCTCAGGGCCCCGCCAGCCACGTGGGAGCAGGGCTGGGTTTAGGATCCAGGTGAACTGGGCAGGGTGAACTCTTCACAAACTGAGCCATGGGAACCTGAACCTGCTTGGAGGGGTTGGCTGAGGGAGTTTAGAGTCTTTGGGGGAAATGCATGCAGTGAAATGTGGGTTTGGATGAGTGAGGGCTGAATGTCCTGGCAGCTGCTGCTTCCCCACCTGTGTTTCACACCCTGCGTGTAGGATTTCACCCCACTGATCACAAATTAGTGCTGTGCTTGGTGAGAATTCGATTTATCTCTGCTGCAGCTCTCAGGGCTCTGCCGGCCATGCGGGAGCAGGGCTGGGTTTAGGATCCACAGGGTTTAGGATCCACTGGTTCCAGGTGAACTGGGCAGGATGAACTGCCCAAACTGGGCAGCTGCTGCTTCCCCACCCATGTTTTACACCCTGCATGGAGGATTTCATCCCCACTGATCACAAATTAGTGCTGTGCAAGAATTTGGCAAGAATTCGATTTATCTCTGCTCTGCCAGCCACGCTGGGAGCAGGGCTGGGTTAGGATCCACTGGTTCCAGGTGAACTGGGCAGGGGGAACTCTGCCTTTTGTAAATTGAGCCACGGGAACCTGAGCCTGCACCACCAGGCAGCTTGGAGGGGTTGGTTGAGGGGTTTAGAGGCTTTGGGGGAAATGCATGCAGTGAAATGTGGATGAGTGAAGGCTGAATCTTTTAACCCTTTAGCCCCTGTTTAACCTTTCCCTTCGGGGTGGGAGGGTCTGGTACCTCTGGACACTCACTGGGTGTGGGTTTTAGCACCATGGCAAAGAGCAGGGCTCAGAGCAGCACAGGCACTTCCTTGAGGGATTGAAATCCAGGGTGCTGTGGCACCACTCAGATAAAACCCTTGGAAAAATAGTGCATAAATCTCAGTGTGGTTATTGCACTGCTCAGGTAATTATCTGCCCCCGTGTCCCTAGAAATCTGTCTCTTGGATTTCTGCAGGAGAGTGATGGAAATGCTGAATAGAAATAAAGATTTATTGAATCAAAGCGATTCTACTGTGTATTTTAAGACATATTTATAAGCAGCAGCTGCAGCAGCGATTATGATAAATTTAATATTCAGAGTTCATTTCATGACACAGAAATAAAATGAATAATCCATCAATATAAATTGACTTGAGATGAATATCAAATTGCAAAATCTTTAGAGCGATTCTGTTTGCTAATCTACATGAACATGATCTGGATTAAAGGGATCTGTTTGGTTCAGCATTAAGCAGGAAGGGTAAAGTCTGGCTTTAAAATGAGATACATAAAATTAGGCAGCTCACAGGAGGGTCTTAAAGATTTCTGTGCCCGTGTGGGCAATGTCTTGAGGGAGCCCTGCCCCTGGGAAGCCACTGTGAAGTCTTAACTCTAAAACCAGGCATAAAATATCCTTAAATACCTGGAAAAGCAGGTGGACAGCTATGGACCAAACGGACCAAACCACAGGGGTGTTTAACAAAACGTGTCTGACCCGCTGAGGCACTTTTATAAATGTCACTGTCAGCCTTTGTGCTTCTTCAGGGGCCTAAATACACTTGCAAATCTCCCTTTAATATTTTTAAAATACTTTTAAGCATGCCTCTCCATGTTCATTAATGTGAGATGAGCAGATGCACAACCAGACAGAATCCCATTTCCCCAAGGTAATCCTTTTTCTTCATTTCTAACATGCAAAATGCAGGGAATTATAACAGCGTTTAAACAAAAGAAAAAAAAAGAAAAAGAAAAAGAAGGAAGTTGTAAAGCTGTTTGAAATATCAAGACAAATGCAAATGAAGTCTAATCCTTTGTGCTGGAGCTGTGGTGGTTCCTGGGGTGGTGGTGGTGGTGGTGATTCCTACTTTTTGGGCTACAAAGCAAGTAGGAACTGGAGAACAGAACCCTGGCCTGGGAGCAGGCTCTCCTGCCCCCTCGGTTGGGCTTTCAGTGGGGTTTGGGCTCTTCACTCTACGAGCTTCACTGAGAACAGGCGCTTCCCCCAGCGCCAGCGGGACGAGTACACCCCGACCACGCTGAGCACAGCCACGCCCCGGCCCTCAGCCCCCGCTACCCGCGCATCCAAATGGATCAGCAGAAAGAAGAGATAGGATTGCATTACCTCGGTCATTTTGGGCTTCCTGGAGCCGGCCGGGACCAGCCTGCCCGCCTCAGGCC